TGTATTAGTGTTATGTTACTGTATGTATGTACTAGTATGTGTGTGTGTGTGTGTGTGTGTGTGTGTGTGTGTGTGTGTGTGTGTCGACGTCGTGTGTGTCTATATATATATATATAGACACACATGCATGCACACACACACACACACACACATATATACATACATAGTCATGACGTGGCAGAGCGCTTCAATCAAAACCTGGCGGTATATGGAATTGTACACAAGATCTACTGACACACACAGAGACAGTCCTTCATAATCCACCACTCCTAGGAACTGGTAAGTGGCAAGGACTCCCATATTTCAGTAGAAGAAATGAGGGGAAAATGCACTGAAGCTGAACAGCAACAATCACAATAAAATTTAAGGCCAATTGTTTACCAAGCCTATCTTAAAGAAATATTCATAATAGGATTTTTTATTTAAAAAAAAATGCTCTTTATATTAGTTATAAACGTGTCCATTAAATATGATCACATAGTTTACACAACTGTTTTAAATGCTATTATAAGATGGGAGGTGCTTCACTGGTGGGTTTGAGAAACAGATTGACATCTAGAAAATCAAAAAGGTAAGATTCAAATTTTATATTCTGGCTTGTCAATATCTGCAGATTGTGTTTCTAATTGGTTGGGCACTGTGAAATTCATAATGTGGAAGGAATAAAATCTATAATGGGGAACTTAGAGGACAAATGTGTCACATTACACAAAGAAGTAAAAATTGATAATTTATTTAAACATGTCCCACTGCAATTAAAACTTATATAATATAAACATTTGATTTATAAACTATGTTCTGATGCTAAGTTTATTAAATACATTGACAATAAAATTGTTTAATTAAATTTGGAATGTAACTGTGTAAAAGCTGGTGACATGCAAAGTTTGACCTAACCAATTCCATAGGTTTAGATTATAATCTAATAAACTGGCAACAAGAGAGAGAAGAGTTAGAATACAATCTAATAAACTGGCTATACGACAGGTAACAACAACCTAACAAACTTTACTTATTTGTTAATTCCTTTACTTCACCAAAATAAATAACCATAGTCTACTGAATAAAAACTGACAATTAATTGTGATGGTATTCTATAAGTTATCCAAACACCTAAAGTATTTTAGGTTATTAGTGGTAAATAAAAGACTATACATCTAAACCAAATAAATTTAATAAACTGGCTACAAGAAACAACCTATTAAACTGGTAACAAGCAAGTTAAAAGCACGACTATAATATAATAAACTGGTAACAAGCAAGTTAAAAGCACGACTATAACATAATAAACTGGTAACAAGCAAGTTAAAAGCACGACTATAATATAATAAACTGGTAACAAGCAAATTAAAAGCACGACTATAATATAATAAACTGGTAACAAGCAAGTTAAAAGCAAGACTATAATATAATAAACTGGTAACAAGCAAGTTAAAAGCAAGACTATAATATAATAAACTGGTAACAAGCAAGTTAAAAGCACGACTAACATAATAAACTGGTAACAAGCAAGTTAAAAGCAAGACTACAACCTAAAGACAGTGAAAATGAAGGTAAAAACTGAACTAAAATTTAGGTAGAACATAAATAATTATTGACTTTTTAAATATATCAAAAGTATTTACTTTGTATGATAAAGACTTTCTAAAAAACATCTAGCAGAGCTTGTTTATGACAGCTAATCAGCAAGTTCAACACTGAACACCGTGTTTACATGTTACTTCCATTATTTCTTTAATGCTATAGTACATTCACTACTCACCTCATAAGTTAAGGCACGGTAAAGAATAACCTTTCGGTTAGCATCACATGCTGCCAGGAAAGAGCCATCTGGAGAGTAGGCCACATCAGTGATAGCTCCACGATGCTCATTTAGGCTGGTTTTATGGCTCAGTGTATAGCCATTGAGTAAGTAAATATGAACTTTATGGTCCTAATAAAAACAGAAATGCCACTTCTATTTTATCACTACCCCAGATATTTTTTGATACACTTACTAGTTTCACCAATTGTATTTTTCATGGAAAGATATTAAACCTCTACAAAATAGCCAACCAATAAAAATCAGTTTCTGACCATAATTTGTCAAAATCAAATAAACATAAACATTGCAAAAACTTGTTAACAGCTGTAAAACATAAGAAATCCCAACAGAATTATAGCAAAATCTAAACGTTTTATTGGTTGATCAATTTGAAACTTAAAAACTTTTTTTTTTTTAGCACAGGAGTAGAAGTCTTGAACCTTGCATGCATTATTGCAGAAATAAAAACATTTTTCAGCAATTCTGATAATTAAATAAAAGAGGGTAAGGTACCTTATGACCTCCAACAGCCACATCAGCCTCCATAGGATGAGCACTAACACAGTTTGGTTCATACTCCACTGGCATACAAGTCTTCTTTTGGCCTTGGTCCATAACGGTTATCTGTGAGGAGAATCAGTCTTTTAACAAACATACAATTTATCATTTATTCACTTCACATATGTAAGTTACCTAGCAGTGCTCAATAAAACTGTGAAAATACTTCTACACAATAAATTTATATATTCTGTTTCAAATTAAACTTTTTTTGCAATATCATCCTCTACATAATGTTGACTTGTCAATTTTATTTTCGTACTTATTATATATAAAATCGTGACAACAATAAAATATTACATGCATGCATTAGCTGCAGCAAATAAGGACATGGGCCTGAAAAATACTTAACAAGTTTGCAGTATCCAGTACTTCGCAAAATAAAAATTAATATCAATAAAGCATATAAAAATAACATTTTATGACGCACAATAATTATTTATTACATGTTTTGATAGTATTTTGCTACCAACATAAGGAGTGAAGTTTTACATAGGACAACATTGAGCAATAAATACAAGAATGGGACTGTCACATTACATAGATTGGGAGGTGGGGGAGATTTTTACTTTTTTTTTAATGATATATTCAAAATGTCAATCCATAACTATAAATTGCTACTTGTTGGTCAGTCATCTTTATTTCATAAAGTGCATTTTTACTTAATACATAAAATTTCAATAGATTTTCAAACATTAAATTCCATTTCTATATTTGGTTCAGTCATAAATTTGACCTGACTCCATGGAATAGAATGGCCTGTTCTGTGGGAAGAAAGTAAAAGCCTTATTGAAATACTGTCTCAAAATGTAAAGTAATTAGAAGTTGTAACTAAAGTCGATGGTGTAAGCCTGCCACTAAATAAATTTCAATTTGCCATAAATTAATGTATTGGAACACTGGATAAGAATCGTGAAACTTTATTTACAATGGCTAAAATTAAAGTAAATTATTACACACAATATTACACAGAATGTGTTTATTGTCACCTGATAATGACGTAGCTAACCTGGCAAAAAACTGTGTGCAATAATTTATTTTCGTTTTCTTGAAAATGATCTTAGCTATGATTAAATAATCATAGAGGCTTAAAATATTCTAAAAAACTTGCGATACTTCAATTGATGTGTAAACTTAAAAAATAACCAACCTTGAGCAAGAACTTGGTTTCTTTTAAGCCGTGTCTATTGACAGAAATAGTGAACTTGGGAATTTGTTTGCCAAAGTAATAGATATAGGTATATAGATATTGGGGTAGTAATGAATACTTTGGGCACAAGAATTACAAGAGTAGTTAGTTTTAAATGCTAAAAAAAAAATTCTAAAGAGGTGAAATCCTCCATGATAAAACTTGCTCATAAACTTAAGAAAAGCTAAGCTAGACACAGAAAAAGGATAGTATTGCAGAAGACAAATAACCAGATGTATTTTTATACATGAAGAGCTTACAAAGACAGTTAAAAACACATAAAGAACTAGAAATATGTGAGGTTAAGGATAATAAGATAACAGCACAAAAACAAGGGCTTCTCTTATTGTGCAAGTAGCTAATGGAAATCTAACTAAAAGCAAATGTACAAACAAGAATCTTTATGTCTAAAGGAGAAATTTAAGTTAACCTAAGTCTTAATCATTTCAGTTAGATTTATAAAAAACTCAATGTTGATAATAGCTAAGTATAGCTGATAGATGCTATTTGACCCATCATTCTCATGCTATTCACTTAATCATAAGAAATACTGAAACATTTTCAAAGAAAAAAAGGATATAAATAATTGGAGAAAAAAAATGGGTCTTAATAAAATTATTATACTGAAGAAAACTGTTCTTTTTTTTTCTTTTTTTTTGAGGTTCATTGGCAACATTTCAAATCAAAAACTTTTCAAAATGAAACATAACTAAAATATTCTAGAAAGCGCTTTCTTACTAAAGGTATTTTACACTTGGCTAAGGGTTAAATTAACTTTCTATTGTATTTTTGTCTGTGCATTTGTTTGTTTGTAGTAGTTAAGCACAAAGCTATACAATGTGATATCTGTGCTGTACCCACCACAGGTATCAAAACCTGGATTTGAGCATTATAAGCCTTCAAACTTACTGCTGTGCAACTGAGGGAGGGCATTGTGCTTATGAAAGAAAATCTGCTAAGACAAGTTGAAAGATACTTAAAATAAAGTGATTACAATTTCCTTTCATAACACAGCCAACTGTAATTACTGCAACTTTATTCAATGTTAGGTTGATTTGAATAAATATGGTACATAATAAAACAATTACTCAGAAATAGACCATAAACCTAACTCCTAATGCTACAAAATAGTATTTAGTTGGTGCTAATTATAACATAAAAAATTATTGATTCATAAGATGAGGCTAAAGTATTTACTGATTTGTTTTAAGTTCTGATATTGCTTCTAAAATTTCTATTAAACCTACAGATCATTCTTCTGAAAACTATGAAAAATTATTTTTTAACCAGCAAGTTAAAATGAAATTTTCTAGCATTTACCCAGCATTAAGGTGAAAAAATTAAGTGGAAAATAATGGTTTACACCCAGTGATGGAACATAATACTGTAGTCATAATTTCTCCTATTTTAATATCCTCCACCCTAAAATGACTTTACAGCGAGTGGAATAGTTAGGGCTGTGTTTTTGTCATATTTCATCAAAGGACTAAATTTCAATTTATAAAAACACTTTAAAATGAAATATTTGAAACAAGAGCATATTTCTGAAATACTTCTAGATACATCAAATATAATAAAAGTGGAAATAGAAATAAAGCCTACAGAGAAATCATACCTGCCTCGACCAAGTTGAAAACTCACTTCCAATCTGGATTCAAAATTACAACAGTATCATCTCACATTTTATCTATGATTAATCACCATTTGTTCTAAGTATCAACAATCCCTTAGTTACATAAAAAAGCTGTTTCTAATTAATTATGAAACTGAGGTCAAAGGTTTTATCTCAGAGACTTAAGTGAGAAATTCAAAATTCGGTCTTAACCCTAAAACTAAGCTGGAGTAATCTCTCCAGATCTTAAACTATCTGAAGGCACCCCTTCAAGCTCTGATCTGAAGAGAAACCACCCTAGCATTACATGAAATTATAACCTCTAACTCTTAGCTTAAAATAACCTTTGCAAATTTTAAAATACATATTGGTACCTCCTCAAGCTCTGATCTGAAGAGAAACCACTCCAGCCTTTTGATACATAATAATATCATCACCAAATTTCATATAAAGAGAAATACCCATCTTGAACTACACAAAGATACAGTCTCCTACTTTAATCCCAAGAAAGCCCCCCCCCCAATCATGAAGTACATTAAGACTTGAACCTACATGACAATATTACCATCCTGTACCCAAAGAGAAGATACAACACATGTTTTGAAAAAAGCAAATACTGTTTAGATAATGAAAAATATATATGTACCCAGAGCTAATTACAATCAAAATCAACTTACATCACTATACCCAGCAATGACCAGGATATTGCTCTCAGCAACAGCAATCCCTTTCGGTTGAGAATCAGTTTTAACTGCTAGGGCACTAAAATGCAAAATAGTCACATTCAATCATATCCACCAAAACAATGCTTCATGATGTTATAGGTCTATAACTAACAAACAATATTTTCAGTAAAGCAACTTATTGGTCAATCACACCTGATATCTTAAACTTTATCTGGGAAAATAAAACAGTGATTTAGTACAATACTGTTTGAAATTAGTCCAATTATGATATTACTGCATCTAGTGTAAGCATAATTCATGCAATATATTAATAACATTCTCTTCTCACCATGAAAATGAATTAAGAACGACTAACAGCACTGCCTTCAGTCTATGTTCTGACTTCACAATACTGGTGATACATTGTACAAGAACCAATACAGAGAATGCAACTTTACAAGTGTAAGAAATATTGAAAATCAGTGTCACGAGTGAATCTACAATATGAAAATATAATTGTTATCCCATCTTTTTTGTATTTCAAGCAGATTATTAAAAACTTCCCTAACCCACTGTGTACTTTTTACTTCAAGTTTAGACATACAACTGCCAATTTTTACCATCTATAAAATTGAAAATTACTCCACAAATCCAGGTCTTTTAATCACAATCTTCAAAGTATTAATACATATACGTAGCTCTGGAAATAGATTACACCCATCTGACAGCCAGTTAACATACAAGTGAAATTAATCTTACGTCAAATAATGTGAAAAAATAAACAAATTATAGCTTCAACTGCTGTTATAATAAATTATTTGCTAAATGCATGCACACATACACAAAACAAGATATAACAGCTCTCCAGAAATATGGGTTACACAATGGTCATTCAGCAAATAGTTTAAAATGTATTTGACATTTGTGAACTTTCAAAAGTGAAGAGAGAAACAAATATTAGTTAGCACAATCTTGTCCAGCAAAGCAAACTTGATCTAGCTTGCAGAATAAATAGAATGAATTAGTTATATTTATTTCTACAGAGTCCAATAAGGGCAACTGTGTTCAGAATAATACAAAAAGTATCAGCAGACTACATACAGGCACTTGAAGATGTGCTTTGCTTAAAAAATGACCAGGATGTGTGAATTTTAATTTGAGCTTGTTTTCAACTAGCGTATTTTTTGTAATACTTTGATTTAATTAATCTACAATTTAATTATATCATTAAAAGATATACTACACACTAGTGCCTAAATAGCTAAAAACTTTTATTCAACCTGAAAATAATGTTGTAATCTTTGAATTGAAACTCATATTTGAAGCAGAATGTGTTTTTAAAGATTTTATAAACACAATTACATAACACAAGTTTTTCATAGAAGTTTTACTAGCAGTTTGTGTGATTTGAAAAACTGATTATTCACAAATATTTTTTTTTTTTATTTAGCACAAAGCTATACAATAAGCTACTTGCACTCTGTCCACAATGGTGAATCAAACCCTGGATCTTACATACATAAACTTACTGCTTACCCACTAGGAGATTTATACACAGATGTCTGATGACTCCAAATGAAATTCTTACATATCATTCCCAAAAGGTAATTTTCTATTCTTATCAATATAAAGAAATGAAAGTTTTGTTACACTTAACACAACACTATTTATATAATTTATATTTCTTTCTAGATTAAAAATTAAGAAAAATTTCAGGTGGTAATGTGTAAATTGTGTTATCATCCCAAGCATACTACTTTTTTTTGGTTTAAAACAATCAATTTAAATGCTCTGATTCTGATCATTGACGTGACAGAAGACTTACATGAAGGGCATTTCTCATCATTTAAAGCAAACCATTACAGCATACTTAATGTGATACTCAAGAAAACTTATTGAATATCTACAGTACCTATCTTTGTATTAGTGAACCTCTTTTTAAATGATTAATTAGCACACACAGGATGAAAATATTAATCAAACTTTATGTAAACATATGCATATAATCATGCTTTATTGAAGGAGGCTTTACATTTTAATTTTCTCAGCTCAATAGTTTTATGCCTTTGGTCTTTCTTGCATGTAAGAAACATATATACAAAGCTTGTACAAATTCTAGTTGAAATTGATATAGAATATAACTCAAGGGGTCCTTTGTACTGGAAAATATTCCTTCAAAACATGTTGAAACACTATTCTAGTTATAAATGGCATCATCCTTGGGAATACAAAGCTTTGCATAATTTTTCATGCAGTTTCTACAAAAAATACTTTTTTCTAGTATATTTTGAAGTTTATGAATATTGTATGTAAATACTACATATCTTACTCTACCACAATACAAACATCATATCTACAAATTTTTTTAAGTTCAAATTTTGGAACATACTAAATCTAATTGAGATCATGTACAAAATTCAGCCCGAGGTGTTAATTCTTCTAGCTTTAACTGCCAAGGAACTTATCAGGTGTTTCATGGGATAATTGCACTGTGTCCTGCTTGACCTTGTGTGGGAAGGATACTTCTACATTTTGATACCTGTTTTCCGATTATTCAAGCTACTGAGAAAAGGTGCTTAGTGAATACATTTTTGGTGCTTTGTAATATATTTGTTCTGATCCTTGAGTGAAGTAGTTTGTCATCCTGAAGGATCCCAGACTAACTGGTGAAGACATTTAAATACAGCTTGTTATACTTTTTTGCTTCTTCACAATGCAATAATGATGATTAACCATTCTTCATTTTCTCTTGCTTCAACAAATAAACAGTGTTGAATTTGCTTCAAACTTTAACATTGTCTTGTCTCTCTTTTTCAATACACTTGCAACAAATTAGATCCATGAATCTCTCATTTTGTAGAAACTGATCAACTCTGTGCAGGTATAACTTTGAATTACAAAATGAAAATAATATTCTTCAAAAATTACATATGTAAATCTTCCAGTATTATTCATAAACTTCTAAAACATACCATAAAATAAGTCATAGTCTGTTAAGTACTTTATTTCAGATCCTTGTTTTCATTATATTTCATGTTAACCATATCATAGCTGTGTAACTTTCTTTCTTTCGTACAGCTAAAAATATTAACAATTAAATTTAAAATGACACTTACGAATACCGGTTTGTTGCGAGGTCAATTGCACGGACAGTGTCATCAATCCCACAGGTATAGAGGGAATCAGCTCCTGATGCCATATCTTGTACCTGATTACCATGGCCAGGACCTTCCACCCGATCATTATCTCCAGTTGCAACATCCCAGAAAGGTGAAGCAAGCATTAAGGAAAAACAAACCTCTCACAAGAAGTCTACATATTCAATGTTAATAACATAAAATTTCAAAATGTTTTTAAAAAAATTAAAGACCAAGTCAAGAGCAAGTTTAATCAAGATTATTAAGCTTTTGAAATCTCCAGTCCTATTAATAACCTATTCTGTCAGCTTTTTCAAAATCTATATCAAATGTGTTAATTTATATCTCTAGCAAAAAATGTTCACTTTCTTCTAATAAAAAAGAAGTAACATTGCCTGTTTTTTTTCTCTTAATCTCAGGAATAACTCAAACAATAAAAAACACTGAGTTTATAAGTAAATTCTGATGCATCTGAACTAAATGGTTTTAGTTTGTTTGATGTAAAGAATACTATCTAGTGTCAAAAAATATTCTAATATATTTCACAGAGTCATACCATAAAATATGTTTCAGGTAAGATTATGCTGATGAATGACTTGTGACATCTTTTAACTTGCTCAAGGCTACTGTTTGATCACCATCAACCAATGAACTAATGATTTTATTATGCTTATTTTCCATTTGTCCTTCTTTATAGAGCTATCTAGTTTGTAATAGAAACAGAAAATTCAACTAAGTTATCTGTATACAGGTTACTACACAGCACATTGACATTTGTCAGCACTTATAGAATTGCCACGATAGATTGATAAGGTAAGTACTTAACCAGAATGTTAATGTGATAAGCCTATTTGTAGGTGGGAATTTAAATGAACTAATTTTAGAATACTTGTGGCAGCATAATTATGAGAATTCACATAAACCACACATTTGGTGAATAACAGTTAACCTAATCTACCTCAAAAAAGCCTAATAATCCATCCACAAAAGGATATTAACGTAACCATCATGACTGCCAGTATACAAGGTATTTTTGTCTGCAGAAAGTCCAAGGGACGTGATTGACTTGTTATGACCCTAGAAAAAATTAAATATGTAAATTTCTCTTAAACAAGTTAATCTAACTTGAAATTTCTTTCCTGGATATAACTTTCAAATGAAATCTATTACAAGTAAGTCTAATAAGAAAAAGATCTTACTGTACAAACAAGAAAAGAATGATAACATTTCTATAATAATAAAGTTTTATTTGTGACCAGGCATCTATATTGTAGCAAAGCATTTATACTGCTGCTGCTTTCTCCTTCTGTTTCAGATTTTCATACAAAGCAACACAAGGTCTATCAATGCTAACCATCCCTCATTTGGAACCAAGAGACAAGACAGAAGGCAGCTAGTCAACAGCACCCATTATCAACTCTTTGGCTGCTTAATCAAACAGTGGAATTTGACCATTACTCTAACAAGACATCCACTATCTCAAAGTAAGGAATATGGCTTTTTTTTTTGCCAAAATAGGACATAAACTATGAACACTCACATCCACAGTCCAGCATGCTTTTGTGCAAGTTATTTTCTGAATGAGAATATCAAAAGTAATATTTTACAAATTAGTGGATGTTATTTTTTTCTAATTATACAAGTGATTTGCTCCACTTTATACAAATCAGTACAAGTTATTCCAACAAGCTCCAATGCATAGCTATTCTAGTTCAGTGCTGCCCTCTAATTGTAAAAATGTTTTTGCACACCACAAGCTTTTAACTCCCACGCACCCCTTGAATCACATGGTTTGACTGATTTTTGCATGCAACAAACCTCCACCAATAGTAGTGCCAAAACATCACATCTCATACATGTTATTGTCAATACACACTTACTTGATTTTACAATATAACAAATAATAATGAAAAAGAGATAGACATCTTTTATACTTCTTCATATTAACTTTTTTTGTGTGGACTCTTGGAGCCAGGATCCATACAACTTTTCTCGTTGTTGTATGTATTATCATTAGGTTAGAGTTTTTAAATTAGAAGTTAGCAATATACTTTGTCCTGCACTGTTCAATTAGGCTTAACAAGAGTGTTATTTTCAGTTTACTTGTAGTTCTTCTTATGGATAAATCAATAATTAGGTTATATCTTTTCTTTAACACACAACATCTTGTACATATTTTTATTTCATTTCACTACACACTTACTTAAATTTACATTATATAGACTATTTCATTTTTTTAATTTTTACTTCTTTCAATTAATTTAGTTTGTGAGGATCCCTGAGGTCAGAGGTCTGCCCTACCTTCTTCCAATATTACTCGACTTCCTCCTAGAACTATTGAACCCATTTAGGACGACCTAGATTTTGTCAGTTTTCCTCCACCTAATTATGGCTTGCCTCATCAGGCCTCTACTGCAGAATCTGCTATGCCTACCTCAGCCTGTTTTTAGACACGTTTTACAGTATACTTTTCCCCTTCTTTTCCAGACATTATGTTTCATGATGAGCATTTTTCTACTTTGGGAGAAGGTACTTGCATGCCATAGGCTTTGGTTCAATATGCCTTCGCTTACCACCAGGTAGATTTTCTTCTTGATTCTAGTACTTAGAATCTCTGTTGCCTATATGGGAGCAGTCTCTGTTTATCCTATCCATTTTATCCCCCACCTAATTCCCAGCTTTGTCTTACCCTATCGACTCTCCTACAGGGAATGTCAACCTTACACCTCCTTTTTTAGGCATTACACCTATATCTAGAGGATTTTCATGGATACCTCTTCCTCCTACCCTCCATATTGCAGCATTTGCCATCTTCAGTTCTATCCCTCCACACGTGGCTTCTTTGCTTTTGGGATCTTCTTGGGTGGGACACTGACTTGTACCATTTGTTTACCATTCACTTCTAATAGGGACTTCATGTTAACTCTTTTTCTCCACCGGTCCATTTTTTTGGGGCTACTTAGCATCATGTGGGGTATCTGCATTGCTATATTTTATTTTGCTGGTTGCTCTTTTGTTTCATTCTGAGTCATTGCCATATATATTCATGTTTCATGTCTGGCAACTTCCTGTCCTTTATCTGTCCTACCTACAGGTTTCACCATTAGTTGTGTATGCTCGATGATGACTGGAGTTCTGGTTCGATCAGTCCCACCTCAATCACTTCTTGGTTCTTCCCTGTTTATATTATGTAGGCTTTGATCACAATTGGATGGGCAATTTCTGCAGGACTGAGAATGCCCAGGGTAAATATTCTTATTTTTCACTTCTTGGAATGCTATCTAAGGTTTTTTCACCACGTGATTCGGTACCAGTTTCGTGCCTTGCCCTTCGGACTAGTTTCAGTTCTGCATGTCTTTTGTCAGATGGTCTGCGTTTCACCAGACTTCCACATTTTGGGGGATTTTACTAACACCACTACTTGGACATCTGGCTTTGGTTAGTTCCTTCAGAATAGGAGTGGTCATAACATAATAATCTCCTTCTTACACAAGCAACTCAGGTGATTGGATAGTTTTTTTTTCTGTTACCTACCTAACAATCTCAGGTATTTGGAGAGTGTCTTTTTCAACACCCACCTTCATCGGGACCATCCATTCTCCTCCTCAAATGCATTCGATGGAGCTTTCTGTTATCCATGTCATTACAGTTCACTATCTTATTGCTAGTGAGGTTCTAACACATTGGGGAAGCACTTCTCCCTTTGGGTCTGGCACATTTGTGATCTTTTCATATACTGCACGACCCATGATCTCTTGCTAGGGTTACTTTCGATTTTCTTCTTAGCTTTCCTCCTTCCCTCTTCAACTATATGCATTGGTGGTTGAAAATATCCCTCAGGTTGCCAGGTTTACTGATTCCTTCCCCTCATCTGGATTTGTTTCACTTCCCTGATGCTCATCTCCAAAGTTGGGAGGTGTGAGTCGATAAGCAGGCTTCAGGAGAATGGTCTACAGATGAAAAATCTTACAATGTCAGCACCCTGGCACTTCCGGTAGCCCAACATGCTTTAGATCACTTTCTTTTTCTTTTCCAGATTTGACTCATCATGTTTCATTCCAACTATTCAATGATGGTGGAATATATCACTCACCAAGGGGGCACTCATTCTCGTCCCCATTGTGGTAGACAGTGGATCTCCCTTTTTGAACCCACATGCTTGACATATGTCTCCTGGCATGCCATGTTCCAGGTGCTTTCATCCTCATTACAGATTGCCTTTCTAGTCCTGATACACACTCTCCCAAGGAGTAGCCTCTCGATCCTCAAATTTTTGGTGGCTCTGCCTCCTGTGGAGTACTTCTCCATGGAAAGCGTTCAACACCATTCTTGATTCAAAGTTACCTCTTTTGTTTTTGGTCTCCAATTCATCATCCACTCGCCCTATCTGCCAATATATTAAGACAGGATTAGATCCAGTTTATAACTTTAGTTTCTCTCTTCCCAAAGTGATTCTGATCATCCACGTCACACCGGTTCAGGTCTTTCTAATTGATCCTTCCTGGCCAGCACAGATCTGGTTTCCTTGGCTGTTTTGGCTCAATATGTTCTTTTTGTTCTGGATCAATTTTTACTAACCTACATTTTGGGGGGGTCATGTGGAATATTCTTTTCATCATTTTCATTTCTTGCCATCTTCCACCTTTATTCTCAGTTGTAGCCGGATGACCTTCTCTGTTCCATACATGCTCTGCATTACTCCATTGCTTTCAAGGATTCTTTCTGTTGACTCCATTTCTTGCAGTTTCACTCTCTTGCACCATCCTCTGTTCATCATTTATTTTCCTTTCCTCCCTTACCCATTGGATTTGGCTTGTGATTCAATTGGCCTTTTATTCTTTGTCTCATTCTTCCCATAACCAATTTTTGGTGTCTTCACTCTGTTCAGGTACCTTACCTTTTACCTACATCTCAACACTGTTGTCCGTTAGAGGTACTTCATCTGTCGAGCACTGGGTCTACACCTCATACTTTCATCTTCCATGATCTGCTTTGGGTAGTTGTTTCTTCCTCATCAGGGTACAGTCTTCCACTTGTCACCATCCTTCACTCTTTGGGGAGACTGAAACTAGAGATAAGGTGTTCCAAAAGATCATTTGTAGATTATTGTTCATGATACCTTTGCTTCATAAATATGCCTGTTCTGGACCATAGTAGCCCATGGACTTCATGGATAAAGCAGAAGGAGACTGCTGCCCATCCCTGCCATTCCTTTGACTGAATAAATTAGGTTTGGTCTTCTTTTCAAAATAGGGTTTTGTTGTCTCCCATTGCACTGTATCTGGTGTGAACATTGCTCTGGACTCTCCACTGCATCCCCCCCATTCCTTCCAGTGGAGTAAGATAGTCCTTTCCACTTTCCAGTTCCAAGCTGCTGAGGTGGTGGACCATGGAAGTATTCTCCTGAATGAGAGATATACAATAGAAACAATAAAGACTTCATTGAGTTGAGAGTAGACCGGTGGTGTTCTGATGGTGTAGATGACGAGATGTCCCACAAATTGACATTCCATCTCTGCATGGGTTTGTCCAAGGGGATGTTTTAGCTTTGGAGTCCACCATCATAATGATTGGAATGCCTCATCCTACCAACGCATGGGAGTTGGTTCCTAGTGGTTGACTTTTGGATTTAGAGCTCAACCAATCAACGTAATATCCTCACACATGTAGTGCATTTGGGATCTCTTATCCTATCCACGCACATGTCAACTCCGGCAGTTGAGTTTTGGATTTAGAGCTGAACCAATCAACACAAGTCCTAACACATGTTCAGAGTATCCCTGGACCCTCACTCAATTCACATCAAGTGCACTACTCTAGTGTTGTGGGTCAGGGTCAGTGCACTTTTTGGTTGCTCCATTTCTTCCTCTTGTGCTACCCCTTTATGTCTTTATGCTGAGGATGTTACTGCATTTAAGGTGGTTCCAGTCTGTTTGATTTGAGTGGGATATATATATGTTATTTCACTCTGCTCACATGTGCTCTATTCAAAGATCAGTGGTGGGATTTCTCCCTCCAATCAGCTGAACTTGAGTTGAAGATGGTATGATCCCTATTCCTACCTCTGCATGGATGTCAGTTCTCGGCAGTTGACTTTTGGATTGTAATTGACTTACCAATGGTATGATCTTCATCCTACCTTCGCATGGATGTCGATTCCTGTCAGTCGAGTTTTGGACACAGCTGACTTGCTGTGTGCAGTCCGTCATGCTCTAGCCGCTCTACACTTTAGGGCACATTCCATATTTTACCCCATTTTCTGCCCAGATCTGTCATCCCTCTTCCACATCTGGACAAGGAGTATACCTGGTACAGAAGTGGTGTGGTCACCCACATATAATCCTTGTATTAGAAGGTCCCCTTGCGAGTGTCCTTTAGGGGTAGGAATAGGGATCATACCATCTTCACCTCAAGTTCACCTGATTGGAGGGAGAAATCACACCATCGATCTGTGAACAGAGCACATGTGAGCAGATCAGCTAGTCAAAGAAATGGCCTATGATAATTATACTCCTGCTACCCAGGTATCTACTATCATGCCTCTTTCAAAGTTGGTGAGATTTTTGTTCTTACTATCTTACAGACATATCACGAAGACTTGCATTTATAGAGGTGAAGCAATCAACTGACAAATCACGAAAATCAGTCTTTTTTCTTTACAGACACAATGTCAGGATCCTAATAAAGTAGTCAGTCAGTAAAATTATTGCATAAACTTATATAAAGCATTACTAATGGGCTTTACAGTATTAACACAGTATAAATTTATGTAAATTATTTCCTCAAAGTTTAAAAAATACTAATAAAACTGTTTAAACTTGTACCAGATGTTCTCTACTGAAACACAAAGTAAGGTATCACAATATAAACCTCCTGGTGTTATTTTTTTTACATGCCTTTATAATACGAAGGGGTTTGGAGGAATTATTAACATCCAAGTAGTTGATAAAACCAGACAGAGACACGGACAGTAGGTAATTTCCTTGCCAAAGACAGCTGACTTGTTGGTCCAAGACTTCCTTCCCAAATGTGAATTCTCTACATATCAAAATTAATATTTCAGTAACAGTGATTAATACATAATTAAAAGCAAACTTAATTTTGTTATTTGAGATAAAATTGATACTTAATTCAACAGGTGAGTAAACTTAACTGTTCAGCTGAAGTTCTTTTAACCCTTTTGCAACAGGTGCTCCTTTAAAACTTTTCTACGAATGTCTCTGTGTTACATTCAAAAATTAATTAAACACCTTTACTATCAACGTATGTTATGATTCAAAGGTTTAAGTGCTTTTTTCAAAAGAAACCTTTAAAACACTACTTAAAACTTTAGATGTATTGTCACGTGACCAACGAGCTATGAAAAAGTCTCTACTTTAACACTCTGTACCTTCAGTAATACAATGGCAGTTGTGTAGAGGTACATCTATAAGATGTTTACATATCCTTTTGATACGTACATTTCAAAGTTCTCTGAAAGAATGCAGTTGAAAAAATTAATAAATGTTTTCAACCCCTGCCATGCCCACCTTTAACAGATTTCTTTGAGCTTTATAGCTGACATGTAGATGTTACATACAGATATGTATAATCATTAGAATGAGCTCATTTTACACTATAATCTAACAACAGTTATTTCTAAATTGATGTGCAGCTGTCATCATGGAGTGCACATAACTGACTGTATTATTGTTGACTGCTTGATCGACTAAAGCATGGTTGTTTCATAACTAAATATGCTATAATTAGAGATACAGTTTAAATTGTATTTAGGTCTTACTTTTACATTTTAGTTAATTATGTATTAGTTATGTTTTGTGTCAGTTCTCAAGGCTTATGACATTACACAGTACCTGAAAATATTGCCAAATAGTTGAGCATGTCTGCCAGAGATACCGTAATGCCTTGAGATCACTGATGACTTTTGTCAAAATTAATAAAAAGTGGTGAAGGACAATAAAGGAAAATAAAAACCTTAAAAATTGACTAAAAAGGAAAGGAAAAGACTTGAAAGTACAAATTTAACAAAAAGGAATTTTTTAAAGATATTGTACAAAAAATTAAAATGTATTGGTTTTTTTTTTCTATTTTCTAATTTTAATTATTTCATTGCATTGTACATTGAGGATAATAGCTAATGTTTGTGATATGGTATTTAAAAGAATAATTTAAGGTAAACATTTACCTTAAAAAACTTTTTATATTAATTTAGTAGGTTATGCAAATGAAGTATTAAAACTATAAGATGAAGAAAGTTAACATTTTCCTAAACTGAAAATGTATTTCCAATAATACCTCTGCTGACATTATAGCTATTTCTTGATCTCCAGGGTTTCCACTCTTTGCCCATCTAAGCATTGAAAATGCATGCTCCAGTCTTTTATACCCCACTCGAATGGCCTTGGCAAATTCTAATTTGCAAAATTCTCCACCAAATTCAATGCACCCTCTATCTAGGTACTGTATATAAACATATCATTCAGATAATGTAATCACTTTTTTGAGACATCAACCTGCTTTTAGAGTGGAGGTAGGGTGAGAGAGTGTCAGAGGAGGTAAGTATTATTGGAAATACATTTTCAGTTAAAGAAAATGTTAACTTCCAAAACATACTTACCTGCACTAACACAAGAGCTAGAATCCCACGTTGAATAGGTAGAGGGGCCGGTGCAGGCATGAATCATACAGAAAGCATCTGTATAGAACAGGAATATACCAAAAAATGGTAAAAGAGAGAGAGAGAACCACACTACATCCAGAACAGGTATGCTCTTCACCTGGAACTTACTTCCCACAGCAAGGGTGGAATAGAATATGGGTAATCGTAAGTACAGGCCAGCCCCGATCATATAGCCAAAGTTTCACAGCTCAGGATTAGAATTAAAAGGTCATGGTACCTATATCCCTATGGCTATTGGACTGCAATGTTATATATAGCCACCTTAGCCACCAATGTATATTTACTTTTGATTGAATCCTAACCTGTAGCCATATAGTGATGCATTTCACACCACTGAAATTCACAACAAGAAAGTAAGCAACACCGAAGTGGAAAAACTTTCTCTTCCACCTGAAGAAGTCCAAAAGGCAACACCCCAAGCTCAGGATGGCACGATTGTGTATGCTGTACTCAACCAAAGGAACAGAATGCATCTGGTCTGGAATTATGAACATTCATTCTCACTCCCCAACCAAATAGGCGAGGAGTTTTCCCGCTTGCTCCAAGAACTATGGAGAGGATGTGGAACCTGTGCTCAACTAAGGACCTAGGATGGGACCACTTCGCATTCGGAATTACGAGGAGATAGTGTACTTCCTTCCATGAGCAATATATGAAACCAACATTGATCAAAGACAAGTGCCATGCACCCCCCAAAAAGATAGCTTCGTGTCAAATCTTAACCAGAATTATGAGTAGGCCACTCCTACTGATATCTGGGAAAAACATCCAGGGACTCTGGAAGAAAAGCCTCTGTCCACTATCTCAGCGACTGGAAACTGGAAGTGGTAAGGACTCCAGAGTTCCACCAGTCTGGGTGGGGATAATATACATTGGGAAGTCCTGAAAAACAGTGATCTGGAAACTGTGCAATAGGTGAACCAAGTTCCCTACATTTGTAAAAGCAAACTGATCCCGATTTATTCAACCTGAAGATTGGCAGGGACGGGCAAGATCCCCTTTAGTTTTACTCATGATAGTCCGTGAGTGGCAGTTCATAATAATAAGGTAATACCATCCAGTAGGCACCTAGATGGTCTTATAGAACACCCCATTTCAACAGAGCCTGTTGCAACCTGCAGTAATTATAGTGAAAGCGGTTGCTATTGTGGAATTGAAAAGAGAAAGCATACCTGCCTGGGCAACACTCACCACAGAGTGAGATCCACTGAAAAATAAAGGGACCCTGGAAATAAAAGAGCATATGATTGAGGAAAATACCTCTGGTTAAGATCTAACAGATGTGGTCAAAATAGCTGCAGAAGGTAGTCAAACACCCTCAGAAGAGGAAACTGCCAGATTATGTAAGTAATGCGATTGGAAAGTATTAGGAGTAGTCCACATACCAGCCTGCACAATGTCTTCCAGACGGCAATTCAACTGGGCAGCTAATGACATAGAGATATAATGAATCTAGTGAGATGTGATAAGCAACAGATTCCTCTCCTGTAACGATAATCCATTATAGGCCATGGAATCAATTTATGAAACCACCTCATTAGGGTGGAAGATAAATCACGGGAAATAGAAGGATTCCAATGAATGAACAATCGACTCCTACTACCTCGAAATGAGTTAGTAAGAGCCACATAACACTTAAGGGCCCTAACAGAACATATCAAACAATGAGGATCGGAGTGGTCGTAAGGGTGAGAAATGCTTGGCCAATGGATTGGTGAAATGGACCTTTCCCCTTCTCTGGCTGCCAAAGTATTGGGAAGAAAAGACCTATCAGGGTAAAGCAGGATAAATGTGGAATGATAAAGAGTCTGATGCACATGGAATGCAAACAACTCGACTGGCAATGTCCACAAGCCAACAACAATAAAAAATACAATTTAAGAGAAAGGTGAAACAAAGAATATGAAGATAAGGCCTCAAAGGGAGGATGAGACAATGCATGTAAAACAACTGTATAATCCTAATTCTGTAATTGAGAAGGTCGTTTGGGTCAAAGAATATGAAAGGATTTGAGTAAACTTGATAGTACTAGTACTGAGGACTCAAAAACCTTCCGATATTTGGAATACTGAAAAGTAATGGATAAGGATCCCTTATATAAACCACTGTTGACAAAGCAAGACCCATCTCAAATATCCAAGTCATAAAACAGGATATGGTAGATACTTTAGGATGAAGAGGGTTTAAATTCCTTTTAAAACACCACTGACGATAAATATTCCATTTCCATTGATAAAAGGCTGTGGTTGGCCTATGGAGAGATTTAGTTAAATATATAGAAACCTTAGAAGTTAAACCTTTATGTTTGGCAAAGGACCACATAACTTTCAAGCATGAAGAATGAGTTTCCGAACATCTGGGTGGAAAATGTCTGATCAAAGTTTTCTCAACAGAGACTACCAATGTGGAAGAGATAGAGGTGGACATTCCTGCAAATAATGAAGAACCAGAAATCACATTTGAGCTGGCCAATATGGTGCAACCAAGAGAAGTTGACAGGGAGTTGAATGAACCATAGTCAAAACCTGGGGCAATAGCCCAATTGGGAGAAAAGGCACACAAATGTAAACTTGTCCAGTCTTGACTGAACTTATATACTGCCAATGTTTGAGGATGTGGTATCGGAGAGCAAAACAACTGCAGTTGAGAATTCCAATGAGTCAAAAAGACATTGATTGTTGGAGACCCAAACTGAGAGCAAATTCATTGAAAAACCTTATAATGTAACATCCATTCTGTCGGAAGAATCTGGTTGAGTCGAGACAAGTGATCTATAACAAAATTCATCACTCCTGGAATATGACATGCTAAAAGACTGATTCAATGGGAATGAGCCCAGTAAAGAAGATCCAAGGTATGAATAGAAAGGTCTCAATAATGCATGCCTTCTTGACAAGAAATCTGAGTGTCAGAATGTATCATGACAATTGTTCCCTTCAAGAGATACAGACCTTGAACCATTGCTCAGTGTACTGCAAGGAGTTCAAAAATGCTGATATGGAGGGTAGACTTGTTTTCCATCCAAATACCCCGGAACTCTTGACCCTGAAGATAAGCTCCCCATCCCTGAAGAGATGCATCTGTGACAGATGGATCTCAGGACAAGGTGATGGAATGGGTACCCCAATAGTAGTGTTGTTCCGATCTGACCACCATTTGCAATTGACAATGTTGCTCCCGAGTAAAAAGACAGGATAATCCAAAGGATCACAATATATGATCCATTGGTCATGCAGTGAAGGGACATCATATGTGCTCATCCCAAAGGAATGAGAGGCTCGAGAGATGCCCACATCCCCAAAAGAGAGAGAACCATTCATGCAGAAGGAGACATAAAATAAAATAAAAGCCTGAAGGCTCTTTCCATGGCTTCAATCCTGATAGGGGTTGGTTGAGCACGACTTAACTGAGTATTGAAAAATACACTCAGATGGATAAGATATTGCATCAGTGACAGAATAGATTTATCCAGTCTGATAAGGAAGCCTGCTTTTGTGGCTTCTGAAAGGAGAATCTGAGAGTATTGTTCTGCTAATTGATGGGATGGTCCCTCAAGGAGCCAGTCGTCTATATGATGATATGTGCACAGGTCCAAGGAATGCAGATGAGGAGAAAAAGCTCAAACAACTCTGCAGAAGACAAAGTGCTGATGCAAGACCAAACAGTAGGGCCCTGAACTACAACACCTGACCCTTGTGCACAAATCTGAGAAACCTCCGGGAAGATTCCACTATGGGAATATGGAGATAAGCATTTGTAACATTGAACTTGGTCATCCAGAGCTCTGGTGCAAAATGCTATCATAGGTTGAGAAAATATTCTATTGTAAAGAGAGGAAGATCTAAAAATTAGTTAAGTCGAGACAGATCGATCATTGGACCCCAATCTCCTGTCTTCTTGGGTACAAGGAATAAACAGGAATAAAATCCTGGAAGAACAGGAACTACCCTCTCTACTGTCCTTTTGACTCGCCGTGGATCTGTTGAAGGTGAAAAGGTAACAGGTTGTGCAGATAATGGTAGAAATGATGTAAACTAAATGACCAACCCTGAAGCCAGAATATGGAGTACTCATGGATCCCTGGTGAAAGAACTCCAGATGTCCAGAAAGTGATGTAATCATGCTCCCACTGCTCTCCACCTACGGGATAGTCACCGACGCTCTTGTCAACAGTCCACCTTAGCCAAAGATCCTCGAGAATATGAACAGACTATTATAGAACCAATAGACCTGGGAACAAAAAGAGGGGGTGGGGTGGGAAACACTACAAGCTTACCCTCCTAAATTAGTGCCAGAAAGGCGAGAAGCCAATGATGATGAAGAATGTAAACAGGCTGAATCAATTCGTGATTCTAACATCTCTGGAACTCTGGCAAACTACATGGAATGGAGAAAAGGAGCTTTCTGTAACTCCCTGAGGGCAGAAGACAATAAATGAACACTTTCTAACAAAGTTTCTCTACCCAATAAATCCCAACAACAAACCAGCCAGGAAACCAGGGAAAGAACTGAAAAAGACAATCTGACTGAGGTAGACATCAGCAAAATTTCCCAACTCATCCTCAAATTACTGAGGGGAACATTGTTAGGCTTCCGCAAAAGTTGGATGGAAGATAAACACCTCAGGACATTCGTGAGAGTAAGTCGAATTCGAGAAAACTGATCTGTTTAAAGTGATCATAGGTTCCAAACTAGACCCCCACAGGTCCAAAAGGGGGTCCTTTCATTGAGAATCTAAATATACCTCCTCCTGGCATTGATAAGTCATAGCTATCCTGTCATGTAACTGAGCAGCAAATCTCCCAGCATGAACAGCAATATCAGGAGAAGGAAAAAAAAAACATGTAGTCACTTGCCATCCTCTCTGCCAACAAGGAAAGAGTAGAGTCAAATGCAACAGGAGAGATCTCGAAAACCTCGCAAACCTGAGAAACCAACTGAAGAAAAGGGGCTGGAGATGGCTGATCAAGATGATTCTCTGTTCAGGCCAATGTAGTAAAAGAAGGAGCCAGAAAAAGTGAGTCTCAGTTCTCCCCAGCTGGTCCCGGGTCATTTACAAAAGCCCCCTCAGAACTTTCCGGAGAGACACCCTTGGTCCACATATATGACTCCATCTTGCAATGGATCATATCCAAGACAACTTTGACTGAGAGTGACCAATTGCCTGGCTGTTAACAAACCCAAGATCACAGAAGTGGAAGAGGTCTAGTTGGCTATACTGACGATTACTCATATTCTATTCCACCTTTGCTGTGGGAACTAAGTTCAAGGTGAAAAGCATACCTGTTCTGGATGTAGTGTGGTTCTCTCACTCTTGTACCATTTTTTGGTATATTCCTGTTCTATACAGATGCTTTCTGTATGATTCATGCCTTCACCGGCCCCTCTACCTTCTCAACATGGGATTCTAGCTCTTGTGTTAGTGGAGGTAAGTATGTTTTGGAAGTTAACATTTTCTTAAACTGAAAATGTATTTCCAATAATACTTACCTCCTTTGACACTCTCCCTCCCTACCTCCACACTAAAAGCAGGTTGATGTCTCAAAAAAGTGATTACATTATCTGAATGATATGTTTATATACAGTACCTAGATAGAGGGTGCATTGAATTTGGTGGAGAATTTTGCAAATTAGAATTTGCCAAGGCCATTCGAGTGGGGTATAAAAGACTGGAGCAAGTGTTTTCAATGCTTAGATGGGCAAAGATGGGTATTATGATTAAAATACAAGTTTATAAAATTCTGAGTTCTTATAATGGCAAATTCTTAAAGATTTGGTACCATCTTAAAAATACTGCAGGTAAAAGCAAAACTAAAAAAGTTTCTCTGTATTAGAACTGACAAGATAATTGAACAGAAACTTACGAAATGAGAGACATAGTTGCTACATCCCAGAGCTTGCATGTTTTGTCTCCAGATGCTGTCAGAAGCTTTGTATTATCTGGACTCCAAGACACCTGTTTTTTTGGTTTTTTTTTAAAACGTGAATGTTCATTCAAAGCAACTTTTACATACTCTTCATGACAACATGAACTGAGAAGGTGTTCAAATCTACTATCTTCACAACTCCATGATGCCAGATACAGAAAACAACTACCAAAGTTAATGATATCTAGTAAACAATGTAATTTTTACATACATAAATACAAAATAGAGATGTCCATTCACAAAAGATATTCCAAACAAAGAAAACCGGAAAAAAAATGTTTAAGGTTAACATCTTCTTTTTAAATCTATGCTGAAAAAAATTTTTTTTATGCCTAATCTAAAAATTTCTTCTTTTAATAAAGCTTAATTACCACTTAAAGGAACTGAAAACATTACCTTTCTATAAACACAATGGTAGTCACATTCTATTATTATTATTATAATAATATACATTATGATTATATTTACTTGTAATAGACTTGCTCTTTAATTTAATAATTTCCCCCTCCCCATAGTATTTTTAAGAAACACTCTTTGTCTTTCATTGAATATTGAATTTTTTTAATTTTCTTAAATTTTCACAACAAACTTTATTTTTATATTTTGTGTGTTATTCTACACTCAGTAGCAATTTACATAATTTTTTTTCTTACTGTACACTAACTCGTACAATAAAACAATTCTTAGTTTTTTTAGAAAACCAAAATAACCTTTACATCTAAAGAGACTTAAGAAAATGATAAAATTTTTATTTTTGATATCAGTAAACACAGACTTACACCATATATTCCTCCATTGTGGGCAGGGGTACCAACCTCTCCAACTTGTGTATATTCTTTTGCATTATATAGGAAGAGCTTTTAAAAAAAACACATACGACATTGCAAATTACTTCTGATAGTGGTAATATTAAAAGTAACAAATCCTTTTAATACTTTTTAATATGCATAATCTTCTAAGTTTCATGGAGAAACACTGAAAACTTTTCATCATTCAATCCAACTGTACAAGTCAATTTTAATGACAATGTATTTTGATACTGTTTAACTACTCACACTGTTCTCATTCCTTCTTTCCTAGCATGTTCATCGAGACTCCCTGCTCTAAAGAAATTACTCTAATGTTAAATTGTTTAGCTTGTAGGGAAACGACTTCAGTGTTTACTTGTAGAAAGTGTATCACAAGAGTAAAACAACTCCTGTAAAATGTTGTTTAATACATTTGATGGACTACATGTATGAAATGTCCATACAGATGCAAAGTTATTAAGGACAACTTCTCCTCTTTTTTTATATCTATGCTGAATTTTTTTTTTTTTAATAAAGCTTAATTATCACTTAAAAGAACTGAAAACATTAGCTTTCTATAAACACAATGGTACAGTCACATTCAAACATTATTATTATTTTACCTAATCCAACCTTATTTAACCTAAAAAGTTATATACTACTTTATATGTAGTATATAAATTCACTACATTTGTTTATCCTAAATAACTTTAAACTTGGAACAGTGTACATCTGTATCTAATTAATTTTTTTTTTTATTGTCCTTTGAATCATGTCTAATTAACAATCCCACCACACAAGTTGCAACTCACTTAGCAAACGTGTAGCTCATATTACCCTACTGAATTATGAAATGCATAGACTACTTGCGAGATGCTCTTGACCATACCTTGTGAAATTATTATTATTATTTTCTTTATTTTACCTAATCCAACCTTATTTAACCTAAAAAGGTTTCTAATTTTTACATTTCAGCTACTTTTATAATAATAAATATAAAATACACATGAAAAATAAGAAATATAGTACTTACCAGGGTCTATTTATTTTATTTTTTTTGCTGTTTACTGTCAATGAAACATAACTACTTTTTTTTTATACTGATTGAACTACTGCACTAAATAATTATTTTATTTAACTAAATAATGCAACAAAGAACACAGAATAACAACATGCTAAAAACAGACAATGTCCTTTTACTATCATGTATAATGTTTTTCTACCTGTGTGACAAGAGCCATTAAAATTTCAGCTAAGCTCATCAATGTGTTCCCAATGGGAATAAAGTTCAAACTGGAAGCAAATACTCTGTACAAAAAACAATGTAATATAAAATGTCATTTGAAGATTAAAAAAAATTGGGCTTTCTATTGGTTAAATATAATATTAAACATCAGAGAAAACTATTGGCAATTTGTGAAAGGGATGATGTGACACATGGACATAAGAAGAGGGGGGGGGTCAGTTTATAGCTATGTAACCAGATAAAATTGAAGGCTATAAAAATATGCTTTGCTTGAGTGATAACAATATCATAATATATATTATGTTAAATTTTGTACTTTTCAGAGGGGTGGTAAATAAATTAGAAAAAAAGGGGATACCCAGAGAGCAAATATCACAATTCTCATACTAGAGGAAATTAGGGATTTTTGTTTAAATATTGCCTTATAAAATTAAGAACTTAAAACTTGTATAATATTAAGCTTTGGATTACCAAACATGTTTTTATGCCAGGTTTATTCATGATAATAAAGCACCTTAATTAAATTTTAAATGTAACTCAGTAAAACTTCATGACATGCATAGAAAAGGATGAACACATGAAAAAGAAAAATGTATAAATTGTGAAATGATAAAACAAGCTTGTAATCTTTTGGGTTTAAAAATCATTCAAATGTTTTAGCTGTTTTCTCATTTATTGTTTTCTATGCTTTTACACCTGAAGTCACCTCTCCACTGGAGCAGCTTTTTCTTAGTTGAGTGTGACATATTGTTACATATTATACACCCATAACCATCATTTTACATATTTTGCAATTAAAATAAGAAGAGTAAACAATATATTTTTCTTGTTTTATTTCTATCACCCAGTTTAATTACTGTGGCTTTCTATTTCTCTCCTGAAAATTAGTGAACTTCATTTTTGCTGTGATCTGCAACTATTAAAAAAAAACCATACTAGAACATCCACTTATAAATCTACTTTTTGATCTTCACAAAATATGCAAAACAGTTTCTCCTTGTCATCATCACCTGGAAACCAGAGCATGTCTGTTCATCCACAATTTTAACAAAATTATTTTCCTTTTTGTATTATCATACTCTATCTCTCCTTTCTTCTTCAGTTTCACTTCACTTTTGGAGCTAACACACCCTAACAATATGCCTGAATGTTACTAAACACGTTGACTGTACTCAAACACACTGCAAATTAAAGCTACACAAACAGCAACTTCAACCACTCAAGAAACGAGGAAATGACTGATTACACATCACATGAAACCTTGCTTCATTGAACTGTTTAGTTATTTATGATGTAAAGTTTTACATTTGTAACTTTCTGGTAGTACTGTATATTTTACTGGATAACCTATAGAAGCAGATTGAAGGTTAACTCAAAATGTTTACAAGTCCACAAGACAAATGAGATTTACTGTTTAGCAGTCCAACATAAATTATTTCAATCATGGACATCTGTTAAGTTCAATCTCTGGCTTCAACATATCAGCTGTTATGATTATGTATTTTTGTAACATTTTCGTATTTTTGTGATATTTTAGTGAAGCTTTGTAGGCATATCACCTCATTAACGATGTGCATCTAACTAACAGTTTTTATCATCATGCATGTGCTGAGTAACAGTTATTTGGCATTTATATAAAAGGTCTCAAGTTTCCGTTAGAAAGAAAAAAGTCTTTTTAAAGTTTTAGTGTTTGAGCTTAGTTTATTTTGAGTGGCCATTTGGGACAGATATTTCTGCATCGATTCAGAAGAGTTTGTGAACCTAGATATTAAACTTAAATTTTTAAATATTTTATATATTTGAGAACTTTTGAAAATATTGACAAGTTTTGGTGCAATGGACACTTGAACAGTAAAAACTTTTGTAGCCATACATCTAATTGTGAATTGGAACTTTGAATTTACAATCTGAAGCTGAATTTTGACATGCTACGTGTTTTAAGAGATTGTGTTTGAATTGGAGAGACAGTTCCTATGTGGAGCTACCAAGAAAGAGTGATTTTTTTTTTTGTATTGCATCTTTTGTAAATTATTGTATACAAGTTATTATTTGAAGTTTCTGTTCTTGTTTTTTTATAATATATTTCTAAAACTTTAAAACTTGCAGAGTTGTCATTTTTTGTTTTACGTATTATATTGTAGGTTAAACGGGATTGTAACACAGCTCATATGAAAATTTAATGTAAGCTACCATTGTACCATTGAAACACAGTTTTATTCAAGTGCAATATAGTTCTATTTATAACAATTTCTGCATGAGTAAAAATGATGAATGTTGAAATCATACCTTTCCATCAAATCCTGCTGTGGCAAATAGTTCTCCATTTGGAGAATATCTGACACTCTGGACAAACCGGCTGTGGTCCTGCAAATATAAAACAGAAAAATGTAACATTGCAATTTAACACTGTATATGGCAATACAAACTAAAAACTGTATGGCTTAACTTTTTGTTTCTGTTAACTAGCTTTGAAATGAATGACAAAATATCATACAGACATATATACAAAATAGATTATTTGAATAGTTTCATACTAACAAATATGTGATTAAAAACGGATATATATTAAACAACTTCTATAATTCAAATAATTTGTTTTACATTCTCCACATGGTTAGCTATATGAAAAACTTATTTCATTACTTTTACAATTGTTTTTACAAAGTTAAACCTAATACTTTGCAATTATATGTTTACACTTATTTTTATATTGAATAACTAGCTGAAAGTATAAATAAATATCTTATTCATGGTCAAGCGTTGAAGTAGAGTAAGACATCATTGAATATAAATAAGCCCCGACTATTACAAAATTAAAGTTAAAAATACATTTTTTATTACTTTTTTACCAAATTTAGGTTACAATTTTTATTCAGCTAAGAATAACAAACAAGTATATCATTTAATACTTAAAAGTTGTGAAATTACAACAAAATAGAACCTTTTTTTTTAGATTTAGAATCTATGTCTTCAAAATCACATGGAAAACACAAGCAAATATCTATGTTTTTAATAAGCTGAGAAATAAGAGATCAAGTTGTGGGTAAATTTAAAAGATCACTTAAACTTTTAATTATGCCTTTATTAATAATTGTTCATACTGATTAACACAAAGATTCTATAACATTGGAAAGAGTATCATTTTGTATCAAATACCAAATATTTTATTAGAGTAATTTAAAAACAAAATAAAAAAAACATCTGGTCAGCAATAAGCCAACAGAAAATTGCAAAAATAAAGTATAGAAGGTACATAAAATTTGGAGCATAATTCTATTTAATTCCACATACAGAAATTTAATTCTAGTGAGTGCAGCATCCACAAAAACAGTTATTCTAAACTTACAGTGAGTGTATGTTTAAATTTGAATGGTGGACCCTCATAAATCTGTACTGAATTATCTTCACTTCCTGTGATGATTCTAAATGGACGACAGGGACGGAAATCACAAGAGTTAATCAATTTACTGTGTCCAGCAATTTCCCCAACAGATGTTCCAGTTTCTGCCATGATCACGTGGCCAAACCTAAAGTAAATAAACAAAAATGAAAATAATTGAACTTACCAGAAAAAGAAGATTATCAAATTCCTTAAATACAAGTTATTAAAATAAATATATTGCAAAATCTAATGGTAAATTTAATCTTCCAGAGCACACTAAATTCCTTAAAAAGTTACTCCAAATTGCCAGAAATATTTTCTGATGAGGAGTGAACTCCTTTTATGAAAAGTTTTAATTAAATTTTAAAAACATTAACATCTCACAAATAGTTCAGTTCATCTTAGAGGGGGGAGGGTTATTGAATCGAAACAAAAATTACTAGCAGTAAAAATCTTCTACCTTTCTTTTCCTTCTCCAACAACTATTATCCTCTGATTGTCAAATGACCAAGCTAGGTCCTTTACCTCACCCACAAATGGCTGGAACTCATTTTTCAGCAAATGTTCTTTCTGAGTTGTATCCCAAATTCTGACTTTTCCAGACACGTCTATTAAACATAAAGACATTAATTAAAAAGCAATATATTTTGCCTTATATGTGTACCTTTAAATAGAATTTCTCATAATTAAGGCAAATAGTATTATAAAGCTTCATTCATCTGTTATAATAACATTTCCCCAAGGATTTTAGAGGAGATTAAGGATTTGAGTAGTGGGCAGACACCAAAGGATTGAAAGTTGGGTTATTTTACTCTTCATTTTAAGGGAGGTGATCAAAATTGTCCAGGTAATTTTTAACAAAGTTTATAATTTTGTTGGATAGTTAACATGGTTTCACTAGTGAGAAATTTTGCCTTACTAATATTTCAACATTCTTTGAAGAGGTTATTGTTTATGTATACAAGAGTATAAAGGTGTGGATTTTGTGTATCTCTGTTTTCAGATAACATATGACAAGATTCCATGTAAAATGTATGGCAAAAAATTATCTCTATAGGTGTGGTGGATCAGTTGGCTCATTGGATGAAAAAGTCGCTGAATGGAAGAAAGTAGAATTCAATCAAACAGGATTGATGTTACAAGTGGGCTACTTCAGGACTGTGTTGAAAACTTTGCACTTTTTGATATACAACAGTGAAACAGATAAAGAAATGAATTGCTTAAATTTGCTGATAATATTAAGCCTGTCACAACAGGCTCGATGGATTGCATTGACCTTGTGACCCCTAAGTGACCATCATAGTTTTCATACTATAACTTTAAAAATGTTTTGTGTATTTTCATGAAATTTGGTAAGCTTTCAGTATACATTACAAGTCTTTTGTATACAAAAAAAAAATCAAGTATTTTAATTAAATATTTTTACAGAAGATTTATCCATGAATATATAGAATTAGTGTTGACTACTCTGAATGCAATTGATTTTCATGTTACAATCAAAAATACTTTTTCTTTCCCTGAAAATTGTCAAATTTCATTTGCCTAATCTCTAAAACCTTCTTAATAAACAAAGGTTTTTTTTCAGTAAAACTTTATAATTTATCTGTTATCTGCTTTATCCGAACCGTATGTGCATTCAATTTGGCCAACTTTGTAACCACCATAAAAAATAAATCTAAATTATCATTTTTTTTTTCTTTCTAGAATGACTGCAAATTGTAACATGAAACTAGAATTGTTTATCCTAAATAGCATAAAACTTGTTAAAGTATACATCTGTTCATAATCAAATTTTATTGTTTTATTGTCCCTTGATCAATGTCTAATTAATAATCCCACCACACAAGTTGTAAGTCACTATGCGAACATGTAGCTGAAGTTACTGCATTGAATTATGTAATGCACGAGCTGCTCATGAGCATACCTTGTGAAAAATTAATTTTGAATATCTTACCTAATTAACCTTACCTAAATTAACAAGTTTATACTTTTTATATTTTAGTTACTATTATAATAATAAATACAGAATATACATGAAAAATGAGAAATATATTACTTATCTGTGCCCTCTATATTTATTTATTTTTTTGCTGTTGACTGTCGATGAAAGTTAAGTCTACTTTTTTTTTTGTAATACTAATGATACTTGTACATAAAATAATTTTTATAAAATTAAATAATCCACCTAAGAACACAGGATAACAACATGTACAAAGCAAACAATGTCCTATAACTATAATAAATTATCTGGCTTTCTAACTACATAATAAGAGCTTTAAAAAATTTAGCTAAGTTTGTCAATGTGAATACTGACAGAAATTTTCAAACTGAAAGTGAAATAGACAATACTCTGTACAGAAAACAATGTAATATATTACTTGAGAGATTAATACTTTGGCTTCTACTGGTTATAAATAATATTGTATCAAATGTCAGACAGAACTATTGGCAATTTGTGAAAAAGAAGATGCAACAGGTGGACATGACAAGTGAATCTGATTTTCTAGTTTATGGTTAAAACCAAATAAGATTGCAGGGTATAAAGAAAATTTGCTTTTTCTTAGTAATATCTATATTATAATGAGTAATATACATTAACCATTTCGCAACAGGTGCCCCTTTAAATGCTTTTCTGAGCAAGTCACTGTGTTACATTCAAAATTTAATATAACACCTTTACTATCTATGTATGTGAATGAAATTAATATTATAATGTAAGTTATGATTCAAGTTTTATTTTATCTGAATTTTAAGTCCTTTATTTCAAATAAACCTTTACAAAACTATTTAAAACTTCAGATGTATTGTCAAGAGACCAACAAGCTATGAAACTTCTCTACTTTGGCTCTCTGTATCTTCAATAATGCAGTGGTAGTTCAGTAAAGATACATCTAGACAATAAGATGCTTACTAATCTTTTGATTTGCACATTTCAAAGTTTGCCAACCACGTGACCTCTGTGTACTCGTTGAAGTCTTTATAGATTTAATAAATTCTAGCTTTCAATATAGTGTGTATGTCTTCACAAAATTTGGCAGTCTTTCAGTTAATATTACAAGTCTTTCACATACAAAAAAAATCATATTTTTTAGTCAAGCATTTTTAATAAAATGAAATAAAGATTTGTCCATTAATATATTGAGTATTTGTTTTAAATAGTCTGTGTGCAAAGTAATTTTCATGTTAAAATCCAAAATACATTTCCTCATCTCAAATTTCCTTGTGTAATCCCTAAAACCTCCTGAAAGCATTTCAAACGTTTTTTCAATAAAAATTTATAGTTTCTGTTATTTTCTCTACCATATCTCAAAATAGAATTGGTCAATCCGACCGACCTCGTAACCACCAAAAAAATTTTAAATAAACCCAAATTACCCGTTTTTTCTTTTTATCTAGAATGACTTCATATTGTAACATAAAACTATATTCGTCAATCCTAAGTAGCTCTAAGTTTGTAACAGTATACATCTAT